CTAATCCAGAAGGGCTGAAATTATACACTAACCATGATCCTACATGAAACAATAGCTTGTGACAAAGAAAAGGTGAAAACAAGGATGCTGATCTTGATGTGTATGAGGATATAACCACAACATAGGTATATGTAAAACCACTGGGCCCTAATGCAGCCTCCAAACAAGTGTGCAATAAAAAACATATTTTAAACATGATCCATTTTTCCATAATGTGTCATTATATTTAATTTTTGCTAGCTTTTGATTTCAGGAGTTTGTATGCAAGCCCTTAGGGTTTGTGTATATGGGTACCACAGTCATAAGTAAGAAAAATGCATTGACATTTTCAAAGCAGGAATGAGCTTTAGCATCCGGTTGAACATATAGTATGTTTGACCCAAATCCAAGTCATTTATCATTTTGGGAAAATGGCGACATAATTAGGCCGATCACTGTTATAGCAACCAGTTACCAATTATGCACTTTCTTGCTTCTGAATAGTGGTCAGATAAGGGCAAAATAAATAGCATTTTAGGTTTTTTGTTTTTAAATTTGAGAGAGGTTTATGTTATTTTTAATCTTTTTGCTTCGGTCTTTCAATTTTATTTTGTAGGCAGCGGTGTGAACTTCTTCCTTACACAGGCAAAGTTGCCCTTTGTTTTCAGCACATCACTGCATACTTGTGTGGTACAGTTAGCTGCATCAAACCATCATACTGCTAAGATCAACAAAATGCCATATCCTCAATCCCACTATTTCATAGCTGTTAATAAAGTTAGGCAATCCCCTGTATTCATAATGCCATGCCGATCTAAAGGGATAGAATAATGTTCTTCACATGCAACTAGTAGAGGGCAAGCAGTTTCTCCATTTGCAAAAAATGCATCCAATGGTCTGTGGAAGAATCACAGCATTTCCAGATAACTTACCCTCTCATGCAAAACCTGCCTCTTATTCTCAGATTACTGAAAGCAGAATCACCAGTGGTGGTGGCTGCCTTGGTGATGCTTTTAAGTCATTTTTCCAAACATATAAGAAGGGCCTGGCTGCAAGAAGCACATACATTATATGATTACAGACAACATGGGGTCCATGGCTGATGCAGACACTCCTCGAAATGAGAGCCCATGGACTATTGGGTGTCTAGATGTGAGTGCTGGCCAGATGTTTGCATGATGATAAAAACACGCCTGGTCTATCCATCTGAAATTGCCGTTTAAAAAATTGCTTACATACTGTGCATCAAGGGTGTACAATATTTCTTTCTGCTGTCTTAGAAATAATACACTATAATTTTTATTTCACAATAAAACTATCCAGGTCTTTCCCTCTTAAACAGCCTGTTTATACTGCTTTCAAAATGTTCACTGGCTTTTTTTTCTGTGAGCTAATACACTCTAATTTAAATTTCTAAAATATAAATATCTGCCTTGTCTCTGCCTCTTAAACTGCAGCCTATTAAAAGTGTTTACATACTGTTCAGCAAGTCTGTACAACATTTTGTGGCTGTTGTCTCTGAAATTAGACATTCTAATTTTTATTCATTATAAAAATCTGCCTGGTCTCTTTCTTTAAAGCTGCAGCCTAGCAAACCTGCTGTGAAGTTACTGTGTACAATATTTCTGGCTATTGTCTCAGAAATATTTCACTCTAATTTTGATTTCTTGAGTAAAACCTGCCCTTTCGTTCACTCCTAAAGTGCAGTCTAGTAAAACGTCTTGCATACAGTACTGTGTAGTGGATCTGTACAATATTTCTGGATGTTTTCTCAGAAAAAAAATACAGTCTAACTTCTCACACTTGAAATGAGTCTTACTAAAGTTGCTTGCATAGTGTTCATTAATAGTGATGGGCCAAACACCCCCTGTTCGATTCGCAATCAAACATTTCAACCTACAGAATGTTCGACCACAAACTTCAAACACGAACAATTTACTGAGCGGTATCTTACCTCACCTGAATATGTGGTAAGATATCGCTCAGTTACTAAAATACTGCATGAGTTATATTATTAAGTCATGTGGTCTTTTAGTAGTGAAACATTCATTATTGTTTCAGCTGTCAGCGGAGTGAATGTAAAAAGAATTGTTGGCATTGCCTGACAATTACAAAAATGTTTAAAAAATGGCGTGGGTCCTCCCTCCTATCCATACCAAGCCCTTTGAGTCGGTTATGGATTTTGAGGGGAACCCCCAAATCCAAGCATGCAGTCCTGCAGGTCAGGAAAGGGGGGGGACGAGTTAACACCCCCCGAACCATATCAGGCCACATGTACGCAACATAGGTAGGTGCTTTGGGGCACGGGTGGCTCCTGCCCCCCTCCAAAGCACCTTGACAAGGGCCTCTTGCCCACAAGCCTGGACTGTGGTTCTAGGGGTCTGCAGATGGGGGGCTTATCAGAATCTGGAAGCCCCCTTTAACAAAGGGTCTCCCAGATCATGGTACCACTACCCATTTACAAAAAAAAATTGTAATGTAAAAAAAACAGGAGACAGTCTTTGACAAGTCCTTTATTAAAAATAAAAAAGTCCCCTGAAGTAGATCCAACGTCAGTCCAGTCGTCTTTGTCAGCTGTGCCGTGATTAACCCCATCCCTTGTGATGTCATCCTGTGTTGTGATTGGCCAAAGAGCTGCACCTGACCTATGGTCAGGTGCATGGCTTTGACCAATCACAATGCCCGTATTATTCAATATTCGAGTCAAACTTAGGTTTGACTCGAGCATTCAGCCCAACACTATTCATGAAGTCTGTACAATATTTCTGGCTGTTATTAGTAAAAATATACACTTTAATTTTTATTTCTTGATAAAGCCTGTCTTGTCTCTCCTGAAATTGCAGCTTTAAAAAGCTATGTTCATAATTCGCATCAGCTATACAATATTTCTGGCTATTTTTTTAACTAAATGATGGATACTTTTTTATTAGATGGCTCCAATAAGAATATTTTCTTCAATGATCTGCTTTACAACACTGTTATATGTGTTAATTGGTATTTCCTTTTTTCTTTCCTTGAGTTACTTGAGTGAGACTTCCAACTCCTTAGAAACATCAGTGTCCACCTTTTGCATTATGTTATCAGTACCTTCCACATTGTCAGAGGAGCCCAAGGATGCAATTGAGACAAGATCGATAATTAATTTGTTTTACATTGGGGAATAAAGTACAGACAATACCTACAGAAGACTTTGTTGACATCATCACATCTGCAGGGTAAGTGTATGAACTGTTGTCCTTATCTTGAAAGGAATCCATTGTTTATGAAGAGACCGCTTTACAATGAAAAACAAATGAAACAAAATATACATAAAAAATAAAAATGTAAATGCAAAATGTTGTTTTAAATAAAGCACATACAAATAAACTACTACTGCTGCATGCAAAACCTCAGCCTTTCACAGACTTTGTAATTTTAATAAGGGGAATATACTAAATGCAATGGCATCTATAGCAAATTGGGACATATGCCCTTTGTTTCCCCCCCTGCAGCTATGCCTCCAGTGCTGTGAATCCAGACACCAGATTTACTAAATATAATGGCAGCTAGGGCAGAAGAAGGGAAAAAGGGAGTGCTTTGGTGCACACCACTGTTGAGCTAAAGTGCAATGGAACTGCAGCAAACAACTTCTTTGCTATGCATTCTCATTTTTTGTGCTCCCTTTAGGATGGTGGTACTAGATCACTGCAGATTTTATCCTTGTATTAGGGGGGGTTGAATTGTCCCCCTGAAGCCTCTCCAATTATGTTTTCTGTTCACTGCCAGCAGCAAACAAACCTCCTAACCACCAGGTTGTGATTGATATGTGTGTCTGGGCAGAAAGTAAAGGGTACATTAGCAGAACATTCAGGCACTACCTCCTCCACCATTAACCACCAGCAAGGAGAAATAAGACAGATGCCTAGAGCTTCTCTTTGCCTTTTCTGTACTAATGCCTTGCCATAGAATTTCTATTTCTTGTGTTCCTGCCTGCCCTTCCCATCATTATCTCTCTATACCAAATGTGAATCTGTAAATGCTGTTTAAAAAGAACTACTACCACCACATGCAGAACCCTTGACTCTGACGTTACGTCTGTCCTATGTTTTAAATAAATGGAATGACTGCTATGGAAATAGAAGGCATGATATGCAGTACTTTAGTGCACATAACTGCTAGCAAAGGGCAACTTTGCCTGTGTCAACAACAAGTGTTTTGCTGTCAAATTACCAAAAACTAAATAAATGCCATAGCAAAATAAAATAAAATACAATTTATCTCCACAAAATAGAAACCTTGATTTTGGGAAGGACAGGCAGCCTATGGCCATAGGATTATACACCTAATTTTGGCTGCTGTCTGCCCTTCCCCTGGCCATAAAATTCCCCCCTCCATTCAATCTCTGGAAAGATGGGCAACCTAAGGTCATAAGTTTTACCCCTAGTTTTTTTTTTTCTCCAGAGTGGGGGATTCAGCCATCGTTAGGACATGCGTCTTTACACTTCTCCTTAAAGTGCAAAACTTGAAACTTCCTCTTGCATGGTAACAATAAATCTCCTGATTTTACTGTGGTATCTAGGAGGGATGAAAAATTCCCCTTGAAGCCCCCCCCCCCCATCCTGCTCTCCAATCCTTCTCACAGCCAGTACCCCAACACTGCTTCTCCTCCTCACCAGAGGTCTGTAGACCAGTCTTAGGCTGAGGATTTACCCCCCTTCCTGACCAGGCCAATTTTTGCATTATGGCGCTACGCTACTTTAACTGACAATTGTGTGGTCCTGCAAATCTGCACCCAAAAGAAATTTACGTCCTTTTTTCCCACTAATTGAGCTTTCTTTCAGTGGTATTAGATTGCCTGTGCGTGTTTTACTTTTTGAGCTATAAAAAAAAAAAAGACCAACGATTTTGAGAAAAAAAAAACAATATTTTTGACTTTTTGCTATTAAACATGTCCAGTAAAAAAATGTTAAAAATCTAATTTCGTCATAAAGACAAAGTGTATTCTGCTACATGTCTTTGCTAAAAAAAAATCCCAATACGTGTAAATTAATTGGTTTACATAAAAGTTATATCGTTTACAAATGGCAGTATAGATACTGAAATGTATTTATTTTTTACTAGTAATGGTGGTGATCAGCGACTGTGGGACTGCGGCGGGCATTCTGACACTGGGGGGAACTGACATCCCCAGTGACACCAATACATTGATTAGTGCTAAAAAAAAGCACTGACACTGTACTAATGGCACTGGGCAGGAAGGGGTTAACATGTGGGGCGATCAATGGGTTAACTGTGTGCTAGAAGTGTTTTACTGGGGACGGTGTGTTGGTGCTTTACTGCAAGCACACTGCTCTGGATGGCTGTGCTGTGCACAGCCATCCAGAGCAGTGTGCCTGAGCAGACAGGGAGGAGGACTGTTAGTAAGCAAAGAAGTCCTCCTCCCTGTGAGATGCTCGGTAATCACGCACACGTATATATATATATATATATATATATATATATATATAAGTGATTTTGCGCACCCCTGCTGCTCAGTAGCAGTATATCTGCTATAGGGCGGTCGGGATGTGGTTAAATAAACTTAATTGCGAGTATCCAATCATATACAAGGCAATAACGAACATGATGAGTTGATTAAAGTGAACACAGTTTTGCCCTATTTACTGATCACTGACTTTGCTAGGTGAACAGTCCTTCACTAAATCAAGCCTAGTGAGTGTTATATCAGGAACTACAATTCTTTAGTATACCAAGTAACATAAACACATGTAAAACATGGATTCAACTTTTATTTAGAGGTGACTATAGGATAAAGCACCATTTCATGTTACTTCCAGCACAGAGAGTCAGTAAATTCAGGTATTTCAACTATACTGAACGCCATTTAAGAAAAAAAGGACACCATAGCTTTTTTTTTTTTTCTCGCCCATGGGCACTGCAGATGGTCTTATGTTTTAAGCAATTTCTTCCACTTAGAACACAGGCTAATAATTCCATAACTGCTTTCAGGTATACACATCTGTCTGTCAGCAGGGTAAGGAAAAAGAAAACAGCTGGTTTAGCAAAATGGAATCACCAAAATACATCATGTGAAAACATTATTTCACATGTAGGATAAAATGCTATAGACCACCCTATAGGGATCTTCTCACATGCTGCCAATTCTTTCAACATAATTCTAAAGTGTTTCAAAAACAAATTTGAATGTCACAAAGTGCTGCATTAACCACAATCACATCTTTGGGTTTTACTTCATAGTGTTTGTGTGTTATATACTGTGTATACTGTCAGAACTAGCATCAAAAGGTAGGGCTATAAGGACACAGCCACTCCCCTTCTTCTTCTTTTTAAGGACTTTTCTTGCCCAATTTAAATAAAAGAAAAACACTACAACATGGGTTTTCTTTGCACGGGTATTCAGCATTTATTTTTCATCCAAAAACCTCCCAAACACTCAGCCTCCTGGCCTTTACTCTGATTCCACAGACCACTACACAGTACCACTCAGTACCTTGATCCATAAACTTGGCAGCCCCTCTGGCTCCCATCTGTACTCCTGGACAGAGACCTGTTTTGTCTGCTTGGGTGGAGCCCAGAACGGTGGTCAAGTCCCTTCAAAGCCCAGCACAAACATGACCAATTAGTGTGCTGGCTGCTCACAAAACTTGGACCCAGGATTGGAGATTTCATCCCACCCTGATCACTTTGAAATCTCCAGGCTCCAGGTCCCAAAACAAACATGGACACTGAGGAAACTGAAAAGCCAGTTTCCTCTGCATGACACAAGTTCCCTGGATTCCCTCAACCTGGCTGACCGAGAATCATGGGTCATGACCTCTATTTAGACCCTGGCAGGGTACCACACTGCCACAATACATATATGTGTGTGTGTTTTCATAGGTGTGTTCCCAGTGGCAGGATATAGTTAGTTAGCATAAATTGCCATTGTTTACTGTGAACCATTGCAGTTGTTTCTTTCTTTTGTCACTCCTTTGCTGTATACTACTATGTTTTCCTATGTTTGCTCATCTTCTTTGTCTTGGATTTGGCATGGGTCAGCTTTTGGGTTCCATAGTTTTTAATGTATAGCGTAAGCACGCCTTGTGGCCAAACTGCTTTAGCAATAAGTTTGTATTAGGCATACACAGTACATACAATCTCCTAGCAGGTACAGATAACCAAGTATGTCATCTAACATCAAGCATAATACAACAAAGATGTACATTCCAAAAAAAAATGCATTCAGGTGCAACGAGCTACATTTAAAACTTATAAGAGCTGATGTTCAGAAATACATACAGGAATACAATACCAAGAATAGAGTAAAAAACGAAAGCTGAGCCAGAACATGGTGAAAAGAGAGAGGAGGAGGAAAAAGACAACATTCCAGGGATCCAAAAAACCCCTTTCTCAAGAACCTCCTATTTAATTTCCCACTGATTGCCATTGTTAGCTTTTTCCCCCATCTGGCTGTCTGTGACATCACTTCCATTTCCTGTTTCCGAGAAGTGACATCACTTCTGGTTCCTCCCTGCACCCAAGACTTGGCAACCATAAGACCAGCTTCTGATAGGACAAGACTGCACGGGGGCAGAGTGAAACCTAGCACAACATAAATAAAAAATAAAGATGCTTGCAATATGGAACAGATAATGCTCAGCAAAAACTCTGATGGGGATGATTTAGGGAGCAGCTTCCGAAAGATAGCTTGTTGAAGATTCACAAAATTCAAAAATATTCAGAAAAATAATGGTGATATCTGGAGTACTAAATATGTCTCTACCCTGAAACATGGGTTCTTTTTCTCTAGAGCTTTTGGAAATTATCCTGACAAAAAATAACTTTTGCTTCAGAGGGGAATTTTACCAGCAATGCCAAGGCACAGCTATGGGGTCTAATTTGGCCCTTAGGTAAACCAATCTCTTTATGAAAGATTTTGAGAAAAGATATTTATATGGCCACCCATTGTACATGGATCGTGTACTAATATGGCTTAGGTATATAGACGATGTTTTCTTTATCTGGCATGGCACAGAGGCAGATGTAGCTGATCTTAAGACAGAGCTAGATGGATGCCACATCCCAATATCTCTTTCACCTTGGAAAACAGTAGGACAGCTACCCACTTTTTAGATGATCTTGCAATCTTGTAATCAGAAACAAATTTTTTACTCACCTGAGAACAGGGAAAAAGTTTCCAATTAAGTTGTTTGTGAATTGCTCTGCCATAAATGTGATATATCTTCTCGAATGTCCTTGTGGATAGGCATATGTTGGACAAACGAGAGGTTTGGATTAGATCTGGCAAACACAGAAGCGAAGTGAGGAGGAGTTCACTGTGATTGAGAGTCAAATGTCCACCAAAACAGAGAGACTTGGCTAAGCTGATACTCCAGAGGGAATTATATTGGACTGGATACTCTATACTCTAGATATATGAATGCAGAGTGAATGAAAAATGTGACCTTACAGTAATTCTTTGATCTGGTCTGGTTCAAATATGTTGGCCATATACTGTACAATCAGATTTGGACGGTCTCCTTAAGATCCAATGTTTACTAATTGGTGCTCTGCTTTTTTTATCAGTTAGTAATTGTTAGTATTGCACAGGTCTCTTTTCATCTTATGCTGCATAAACCTGTTGGATTGCAGAGATTGGACAGTTAGATTGTATAGTGTTTGGACAGCTAGGGGTTTTCTCTCAAATGTATATATAGGGATAGAAAGGGGTTTTCACTCAATTGTATATATGTATTATTTGCTGTTTTTCTCATTATATATATTTTGGATTAAATATGTGTAGAGTGTTTTAAAATAGGTGCACATTGCTTTTTTCTGAACATTTGTACCTGCTGTACACATGTTCCTCTTTTAATCATTGGTTATTTTGTTTATATTTTAGACTGTGAATCTTCAACAAGCCATCTTTTGGAAGCTGCACCCTGAAACTTCCCCATCAGAGCTTTTGCTAAGCACTATCTGTACCACATTACATGCATCTTTATTTTTTATTGCTATTGTGCTTAGACAAACTAGGTTTCACCCCGCCCCCATGCAGTCTTGTCCTATCAGAAGCTGGTTGGCCATGCTATGGTTGGCAAGTCTTGGGAGCAGGGAAGAACCAGAAGTGATGTCACTCCCAGAAACAAGAACCGGAAGTGATGTCACAGTCAGCTGGGGGAAGAAGCTAAAAAATGGTAATCATTGTATATAAGAGACATGTGCTCCAGTGGGAAATTAGGTAGGAGGTCCTTAAGAAAGGTTTTTTTTGGATCCCCAACACGTTGTTTTTTTTTCCTCCTTCTCCTCTCTTTTCACCATGTTCTGGCTCAGCTTTCTTTTTTTTACTCTATTCTGGGTAATGTATTCCTGTTTGTATTTCTGAACATCAGCTCTTATACGATTTAAGTGTAGCTTGTTGCACGTATATGCATGCATGTTCTTTGCTGTTATTCAACAATGGAATGAACATCTTCGTTGTATTATGCTTGATGTTAGATGAAATACTTGGTTATCTGTACCTGCTGGGTGATTGTATGTACTGTGTATGCCTAATACAAACTTATTGCTAAAGCAGTTTGGCTATGTGGTGTGCTTACTCTGTACATTAAAAACTATTGTACTGACATATTGATAAACTGTTGAGAGGTTTAAGCACCCTAAATAATAATATATAGCTGGTTGCTGAATGATGTTGTTAATACTGGTGTGCAGACCTTTATTGCTAATTACATCAGCTTCTGGGTTCCCTCAGATGATTTTCCTGTTGGGTTTCTAACTGTTGTGGACTGGACAAAATCTGAGCACCTCTGTCCTTCTCCTCAGGATGGTATTAGGTGGAAGTGATAGGGGATCTCCCTTTGGCTGAGGGTGGCCTTTGGGTTGAATTATCTAGCATATTTTATCAGGATTTAGGGTTGTGATTTTTCCCTGCCTGCCTTCCAGCCTGGATAAATGCCAAACTGCTGCCAGCAGATATGATTGTATAGGCCCTGTTAGCACCCTGCTGGGGGTGGGAGAGTGGGCTGAAAATAAATACCTGTTACTTATTGTCTTTGTGAGTCTGCCAGGAAGTCTAGATGGGGGACATTTCTGGGACACCTTGAAGTTAGAGTACTACCTAACCTATGCCTCCCACTGAAACCTATGTTTCAATGTCAGGAATAGACCATTCTTCTGTCACTCCGTCACAATATCACAAGTTTAAGAAATGGGTGCATCATCACTCCGGTGCTCTCATAGAAGATCATTTAAATATTTTCCTCCGCATCACAAGCGATCCCTGTGCACATGCTAGCATCCACCCTTAAGGCAGGTTTTTCTGAGCATGTAAAGCTCTGTCAAGTAAAAATATTTGTCAGGCATGTTTCAGAGAATAAGCTTGCTAATAGGTTATGGCATCAG